ACTAATGAGGCCTGGAGCTCTTCCGTTTGTGAGATTGGGTTCATTCAGGTTAACAGGGCCCTTCATTCTGAATGAGGTGAATTGATCTATGTCTTCCATTGTTTTCCAGTTGACTTCTTTAAACATTGGTGTTTTGCTGCCACTTACTGGTTTTATGGTACAGCAGTTCGGAATGGAACACTGTCATATTTATTGCATTGGGGTAGCACCTCAGTCACTTACTTGATGTAAAGAGCTTCCTCTGACCTCTCCGATCCAAAGCGATCAGACTGCTTCAGCCTTACTGCCTTGGCATCGCCATCTCTCCAGCCACCTACTACTTTTTATAACCGCCAAAAAGTCCGTTTAGGTTTTGCCATGGAGAGCGCCAGCAACATACTGAAGAAAAGACATGAGATGTGTCTGAGCAGTGTCCCTTCAGTCTCCTTCTATTGGTTCATGTGAATTAATCCTGTACACATGGCATGCAGAATGGTGAAATGTTATTAGAAACATCCACATTGCATATGACTGTAGAGATAACCCCTTACAAAGATGAATAATGTCTTTGGTTCAGGAAAGTGCTGATCTGTATTTAGCTTGTTGGGGAGAATAATCCGGTGCTGGATTGTCTTTGTCATGGTCTGACTCTTTCCTAGGTGTCTGTTATTGACCTGCTTTGGTGCTGAGATACTAGGTGAAATGGATGCTTTGACACAGCATAGCTGTTTATGAAACAGAAGGCTGTAACTTTTTAGGAAGTTGTGGGGTTTTTATTTTTTAACTGTGGATTTTACTATTTTATCTTACTCAGTTTTCCCTTTTTTGACCTCGGGCACTTTACACAGCCTTCCTAATCAATGCTCAATCCAGAAATCCCATAGTCATAAATAATTAGTGGATGCTGTCACATATTGAGCTGACAGCTTCATGTCAAAGAAAACTAAGCTGAATGAAGGATGGCTTTTTCACTGGTATGCTCTCTAATTAAAGTTTTAAGAAAACATAAAAAATGTGTCAACACTTGCACATGTATATGTAGAAGATTTGAAGCCTTATGTTGTTCACTTTGATTTCTCTCAGATTTATCCACTTGATGTCGATGCTCTTGACATACTGGGCTCTTATTTTTAGAATTTTAACCTATTTTTCAACCTAAAGAAATACCATCTGTTACACAGGTAACTAATTTGGAAAATGGTTTTTAATATCCACTTTCCAAAACTATTTGACAGATTTAAACTTAATCATGGAAGTAGGTAATCGTCAAATATCAAGGTTCCAGTAATATTTTGAATTTAATTTGAAACTTTGACTGAGGAGTTACCTACACTAAATTATGATAATTGTATGCTAATGGTGTAGCATGCTTTTATATCCCTGTAAAGTACCACCTTGTTACTGTCACACCACCAAGTTCAACACAAAGAATTGATGATTATTTAGCCTTCAGGTGCTTATGCGTGGGGGCTTAGGTTGAGTTGCAATCAGTTTTTACTGTCAGTCTTTAGCATAAGATGTAGCATAGAACTGTAGCAGAGGTTGTAGCTACTGCCTCCTTTATACTCGTCCGTATTACTTAGAAGGCTTAGAAATCTTTCTTAGAATTGAAGCTTATATTTTCTGTAGCTTAATGACACCTGTCTGAGAGGGACTTGTAGGCACACAGGGAAGGAGGATTTTCAAGCTTCTGTGTAAAGATCAAATAGCAAATTTGTCAGGGAAATTTGGTTTTCTGTTACAAGAAGAAAACAGTATGAGATCGTATTCAAGATCCTTAATACATGTGTAGCGGCCACAATTTAGAGAAAACCAAGAATGTAAATTAGGAAGGTAGTGCTTACTGCATAAGAATAATGTGAAATTTTATTGCAGAGAAATGTAATTTATTAAAACAAACAAATCCCCAAAGTGGGAAAAAACCAAAACACAAAACCCAGAGTAATTGTTTTCATAATCTGATTGTAAAACTTCCGTAAACTGGAACCAAATAACATGAATTTACTGCTCTTTTTTAACCCTTGCAAGTAGTTTGTTTGCTGCCATATAAGCTCTGCCTCTCGGTGATACTGCCAAACTGGGATTTGTAGAAGTTGGGCACCTAAATACTTCGGAAGATCTAGGTTTGGTCTTTGGAAGTGGTAGGAAATGGGCTCTATTAAAATACTTAGCACTTCCACAGCTGTGTAAAGGTGTTGAGACGCTGCAGGGGTGCTGAAAGACTACTTTGCTGGTCTCCTCCCCGTGATGAACAGGAACGTATTATGGTTGCTTAGAAGGAAATCGGGGTGGAAATCAGGCGCTGAAGCAAGGTGCGCTACTGAGAAGGGAATGAACGCAGTGTTCTCTGTTCTACAAGGTGGAGAACAGGAGAGTCTTCAGTACAATTGTACAGTCTGTCATCAGACGCTGTAGGAAACGGTCTTAACCCCCAGACACTGTTTTCCATCTCTGTGCTCTTTTCCAAGCGTCTCATAAAGGATGGTAGCTTTCCAATGTATCTATTGGCTCTTTTGTCAGTGCAGCTCCTTTTCTTAATTGAAGGCCTTGGCTAAAAAATGTTTAGGTACATTCTTCATGTTCAGGTTCATGTGGAAGAGCTAATAGTGAGTGAGAGAGGCTGACGATGGTGTTGAAGGTGACAGGCAACAGAAAGAAGCAAGAAAATTGAAGTAGATAGCTCAAGAAGTAAGGAAATGGAGAGGAGGTAGCCGTGACCAGGGAGGAGGATGTATAACTGATGGAATGACAAGGTGCAGGGAAGTAGAGCGCAGTTAGTTTTTCTAACAGACGAGTGAGTTGAAGCTGAAGTGACTATACGTTTGTTCCCATTTAATGTATGACCGAACAGCTTTCCTTTTAGCTGTAAAGGCTGGAATGGCCTCAGGCAAGCGTAACAGCAAGGGTGTTTCTCAAGTTGCTGATTAATACCCAACCTGAGCTAACAAGTGGCATAAAGCTTCTCAGGTTCCATCAACTGTCTTCTGTGGTTTATAGTGTCTCCCAAAAGTTAAGTGCTTATTTCAGGCTATGTAAGATGTTTGGATAGAATTTAGGGCTATGGAGAACTCTATGACCTTTAATTTGTTGTATGGAGAAACCTCTTAGCAGCATGCATTTAGTGGAAATGGTATGCATTTTTCTATTTTTAACGAAGATTAGTGAGCTACTCTGAAAACTCAGTTTCTAGCTGCACACAACGGGTGTTTTAGTGTCTTTTCAGTCCATGTGGTTTTGTTTTGCTCAAAATGAGCATTTTGTTTCTTCTATTACGAGGAAATGTTTTGTCTTGATGAGAAAGCAGTATTTTCATGATTGTTTTAGAAGAACTCTTTAGGGTTAGTGCTGGGTGGGCTGATTCACTTGAGGACCTGCAACTGAGTTAAATACTGTGTAAAGACTTGTGGATGGTGGCAGTTACTCTGCATTCCGTAGCTGAAGAGGTACATCAGGCGGTTTAAGGAGTAGTGTAGAAAGGTGTTAGGTTTTTCCTTAGTTCAAAATACTGTGTGGGTATTTATGTTTCTGAATAGCTTTTTAAAAGCTACTGAAGTTAAAAAAAGAAAGTAATCATGTATAGAATGAACTGTCTGGACTTTTGTTTTGTTCCACTCTAGGAAATAGGCAGGGTAACTGCGATTAAAAGAATTTTAGAAATAGAATTTGACAAGATTAGGTTCTAGCAGCACTTTTTTTTTTTTTTCCTGGAAAGTTTATGTCTAGTGCTCCAATTTGGAGTTCTTCCTGCATTAAAAAAACCCCAAAACCAACCAAAACATTTCTGCTGCTCTTCTGTGCCATACAATTATATGGTCACATTTCCTTTGGTGTTAGAAGGGCTGTTTTTATAACAGCATGGAAACAGTTTTAGTAAAAAAATAAAAGGAAGAAGAAAGGAGGAAAGAAGGGGCAATGCTTCTTTTTGTGTTTTCTTGGGGGACAGTTTATGTGATCAGTCTTGAGATATAGTTAATTGAAATACTTTCACAGCTACTTAGAAATGCTGAGGTTCTCCCAGTATTACTCCCGGCCTATATCATTAACCTCAGTGTGGCTGGGCACATACTCCAAGTCTCTTTCTTACTCTCGATTTGCATTCATTTTCCACAACTAGCTGCAGTGCAGGGTCCCAGGTGTCTGCGGGAGGAGGTGTGTTGCTTCCCAGGCAGAGCTGGCGGCAGTGACCTGGCCTCTAAGTTCATGTCTGTTGGGAAGCGCAGGAAGAGCTGTAGGGTCAGTACGTGCTGCTCAAATACCTGTTCCTGCTGCACTCGGAGGGAACTGTAGCTTGCTGGGGTTCAGAAAGAAAGAGCTAGAGGACTCTAATGACATTGTTTCACATATTCTGTGGTGGACATGATGTATGAAAAATAAAATCAATATTAAAAAAAAATTGGGGTTTTCTAGGGAGTGATGGATGTAGCCAAGTAAGTACTAATTCCAGTCAAGTTTTGTAACTTCCCAGATATCTGACCCCCAGGTAGGTGTCGTGTTTTGGAGGGAAGATTGAACAGCGCCACAGGACTCTTGCAGCGAGGCTTAAGGAGCATGTTAGAGACATCTGTAGTGTGCAGATATTCTGGACCAAATTAATTTTTTTTCAGTATTCTTTTTGTTTGCAGGTAATCAAAGCTGGTATTCACATATTTGGGTAACACGCCGTTACTTAAAATGCTTTTTTCATGTTTGTAACTGGACCAAGTTTAAATTTTCTCCCTTCTGTTGCATGCTGTAGCTCCGCAGCTTAAATCACAAATTTAACCTGAAAATGTGAAATTACCTTGTTTTAGGAGAGCTGACCTTTATTTCCTTTAAACTTTTGAACTTATTTGTGAATTCTGAGAACTCCATAACTAAAAAGTATTCCAATTCAGCTGTTATTGATATTTTTCCTGCAATTATTTTTCACTGAAGGTGAACCTCTAAGTCTAATCAACATGTTACTTTGAAATCACAAAGTAGTAAATGTACATCTACATGAGTATATATAAAACACTGCAAAATTTGATTGTCTTTCATAGGGAAGTTTTTGCCTTTGAAGACAATGTTAGGACCAAGATACGATGAACAGGTTGCTGAAGAAAATCGTTTTCACCCGAGTATGTTATCCAACTACTTGAAGAGTCTGAAGGTAAAGTTAAATTTTCTAGTAATTTAAACATTATTTTCATTATTAATGTTTGTGCAAATGTTGCTTTTCAGATTTAAGAAAAGTGATTGATGGCTTCCTTTAGGACGTCTGTACAGAAAATGTATTTTTTTGTTACTTTTCCAGGTTTTCCATTTAAACATTATTTTCATTATTCATGTTTGTGCTAATGTTGCTTTTCAGATTTAAGAAGGAAGTGGTTGATGGCTTCCTTTAGGACATCTGTACAGAAAATGTATTTTTTTTGTTACTTTTCCAGGTTTTCTCTGCAACTGCTGCTTTCAAAAAAGTATTTTCATACAGGCAAGAATTGTGCAGCTCCTTCACTGTATTAGCAGCAAGAATCTCATTCTTGTCTGTATTGCTGTTGCATCTTGCAGAGATGGCATTGTCAAAATTCAGATTCTGAGTGTGTAGTTTTCCAAATGACTCTTGTGTGTGGATATGTTAAGTTGCAGTTTTGCTTATAGGAGTGAAAGCATTTGAAAGTGAAAGGAGAATTTCATAGAACTCTTCTAGAACTCTTCTGTAGTTTCGCATAACAATTTCCTTCTTTTGATGCCTTGAATGCTTTATGGTATCAAACCAGTCATACCCAAGTATGGAAGAAAACAATTTATAAATTTTATCCAGTAACTTCTTAGTGGGGGAAAAAACCCCATAAATAGAAAACAAGAAAAAAATTAGGAGCATGGAGTGGGACCCAGGAAGGTGGGTGGATACCTTTATCCTTGGGTTACGGATTTGTGCTTCTGGCTTATTTCCCCATTCTCTACCCATTTTGTCTGTGTACTTCAGCTTGCATGTGGAGCAGTGAATGGGACCCAGGAAGGTGGGTTGATACCTTTATCCTTGGGTTACAGATTTGTGTTTCTGGCTTATTTCCTCGTTCTCTGTTTGCCCATCTTGTCTGTGTACTTCAGCTTGCATGTTGTTCAGCACTGTAGCACGACTTTTGCAGTGAAGGTGGGAACAGGACCTTTCCAGCCTTTCATGTAGTTCTGTGAAGGGCTCCCCCCAGTCCAGTGCTTCTGGAGATGTGGAAATGGGATTTTTAACCCCTCAGGCTTGTTCAGCACTGCAGCACAACTTTGACAGTAAAGGTGGGAACAGGACCTTTCCAGCCTTTCATGTAGTTCTGTGAAGGGCTGCCCCCAGTCCAGTGCTTCTGGAGATGTGGAAATGGGATTTTTAACCCCTCAGGCAAAAAAAAAAAAAAGCATACAACCCAATTCTTTTAATCTGTTTATTAAGCTGTTATATATAAGGTTAGCACTATTTTTTGACTGTGTTTTAAAAAACTAATCATGCTGGTAACATTTTTTCAGTGTTTTTTTTTTTTGCAGTTGATCTATGTTAAATGGATTCTGAATTTGTTTAACAATATCAGAGTTTAAACATCAAAAGGATCAGGTGATTAAAATATGGGGGTCTTAATTTTATGAATCTCATTTAGGATTAGGTGTGAAGTAGATGGTGAGCTACTCGATGTAGCAACGATAGAAGTATCTTTGGGCTAATCTGATAAGAAAGCACTGTCAATGAAGCATATGAGCCTGTTCTTGGGTGCTTGAACTGGTATGAAGTAGATGGTGAGCTACTCGGTATAGCAATGATAGAATTATCTGTGGGCTAATCTGATAAGAAAGAACTGTCAATGAAGCATATGTGCCTGTTCTTGGGTGCTTGAACTGGTAGGATTTTTCTTGTTTGAATTATTGGATCTGTGCAGCTAAATTCCACTCGGGTCCCTCTATTCCGTCGGTTTTCATTGTCTTTAGAGAGCATACCTTGACATTTTCCAAACACAGTCTTATTCATGGTTTAAAGTAATTTAAAATTCTGCATATATTTTGAAGTTATAGAGGACTTCAGAGACTTACTCAGAGTTTTTGACTATTTGCTTGTTAGTGATTTGTCAACAGAATAGAAATCAAGGTGAGTCCTTCCTAGCCTTTCCCCTGGGCACATCAAACAGTTGTGTTGCAGTACTACAAATTCGTAATGTCTTGGGTGACATGAGATGATTAGAATCCGATAGTACAATTACTAGCAGGAGGATCCCCAATTTTATTTTGGTTAACAAGCAGAACATGTAATTTCTCTCAAACTCCCTGTTCTTATCAAATCTGTTACATTGTCTTGAACCCCGGTATTGTTGCTAAATGTTTGCTGTTTGAAAAAATATGATTCTTTATGTGTTGAGATATGCAGTGGGTTACTGGAGTGCTATATTTGTAGAACAGCAGTTTACCAACAATCTGGCAATGAGATGAATGTGCAGTTGAGGAGATCTTGAAAAAGGGGTTTCCCCAAGTAGCTCATAGAATTGCAGAATAACAGAATGGTTTGGGTTGGAAGGGACCTTAAAGCCCATCTCCTTCCACCCCCCCTGCCAGGGGCAGGGACCCCTTCCACTAGGCCAGGTTGCTCAAAGCCTCATCCAGCCTGGCCTTGAACACTTCCAGGGAGGGGGCATCCACAGCTTCTCTGGGCAACCTGTTCCAGTGCCTCACCACCCTCTCCGTGAAGAATTTCTTCCTGATACCCAATCTAAACCCCCCCACTTTCCATTTAAAGCCATTACCCCTTGTCCTGTCACTACAGGCCCTTGTAAAAAGTCCCGCCCATCTTCCTTGTAGCCCCTTCAGGTACTGGAAGGTGCTATAAGGTCCTCCCCAGGGTCTTCTCTTCTCATCATTCTACTGCAGTGTGTTTTCTTGCTAATGCTTTGCAGAATGAATCACTTCTGAAACAGTACTGTTATTACTTAAGTCAGTATAATTTATCTCCCAAATAAGAGACTTTGCCAAGCCTCATCCAGCCTGGCCTTGAACACTTCCAGGGATGGGGCATCCACAGCTTCTCTGGGCAGCCTGTTCCAGTGCCTCACCACCCTCTCTGGGAAGAATTTCTTCCTGATACCCAATCTAAACCTCCCCACTTTCAATTTAAACCCATTACCCCTTGTCCTGTCACTACAGGCCCTTGGAAAAAGTCCCTCCTCCAGCTTCCTTGTAGACCCCTTCAGGTACTGGAAGGTGCTATAAGGTCCTCCCCAGGGTCTTCTCTTCTCATCATTCTACTGCAGTGTGTTTTCTTGCTAATGCTTTGCAGAATGAATCACTTCTGAAACAGTACTGTTATTACTTAAGTCAGTATAATTTATCTCCCAAATAAGAGACTTTGTCAGAAACTTGTAGATCTGGAGTTTGGTAATAGTGAGATACTGCTGCTACCACAGATTTCTGAAGGTACCGATTCAGCATTTAGGGCCAAATCTGTCTAGGAGGAACTTTCTCTACTGGTCTTCCTGTGTAATTACTTTTTCCCATGGAACAGGTTGCTGAAAATCTGAATGTTACAGACTGATTTGATTTGAGATAGCAACCACCTTTTTCTTCTGATTGCCAGTATTTACGTTGTATCTTAATGGTCTCAAAAAAAAAAAAAAGAAAACTTGCAGGAGCAATTGGTGACAGTGTGAATAATTTTATTTTTTTCTTTCTTTCTTGGGTAGGTAGGTTAGTAGTGTTTATGCTTTATAAAAGGGGTAGTTTTATTTCTCTGTGAAGAGCTAGGACATCAGTTAACTCAGAAGAATGGTTGGGCAATTAGTATGCTCAAGTTACAATATTCCTGTTAGGAAAACTAGTTATCAGTTTTCAGCCACATTATTATTTTCACAGATAAATTCAGTCACTGATTTAAGCTGTTCTCCTCAAATAAGAAATTAAAGAAAAAAAATCCTGGGACTGGAGAGAATTCAGTGTATTGTAGTATGCTCTCTCCCTCCTGGGGAGGATGTTTTTAAGTTCCAATGTCTAATAAGAAACTTCTGGGGTCATACAAGGGGAACCTAGCTAAGCCCATTTAATTGCACAGCACATGCATAAGGCATTAATAGCTGGAGATAGCTGGAGTGTGAGAAAGTGGGGAGGAAGGCTTTCGTAACTGTAGGAGGACATGGAGAGCCTGGCCAAAATAAGAATGAGCAGAATGGAGGTGGCATGAAGATCTTGATAATATTGTATGTTGAAGATGAGAATTTCAAGTTGTTGATGAGCTTTTCTTCCTTCTATCCAGTCATCTTCTGCAATTAGAAGCAAAAATAATAACTAGTTTCAATTGTGTTTGAATATGGCATGTAAGTCTAGTGTTGCAACAGTCCTGGTAGGAAATAAATGTATGTTTTAATGAGAAGTTGCTCAACAATTTAAAATAATTCTTTCTTCCAAAGCTGTGTCATTCAATGGGTGTGATGAATTGAAAGATGTGATTCATGCAAAACATTGGCTGGAAAAACAGTTTTGCGTTTTTTTCCGGTGGGTGACTATGTATTTTAGCTTAGATAGCTTTTCAAAATTCGGCTCCTATTAAGAACTTTCTAGGACCAAACTTACGAGAGAGAGCTGGGTCTGTTTAGTCTGGAGAAGAGGAGGCTGAGGGGGGACCTTATCAATGTTTATCAATATCTAAAGGGTGGGCATCAGGAAGATGGGGCCAGGCTCTTCTCAGTGGTGTCAAGTGACAGAAACGAGGGGCAATGGCCATAAACTGGGAAACAGAAGGTTCAACCTGAACATGAGGAAACCCTTCTTCACTGTGAGGGTGACAGAGCCCTGGAACAGGCTGCCCAGAGAGGGGGTGGAGTCTCCTTCCCTGGAGACTTTCAAAAGCCACCGTGACGTGTTCCTGTGTGATCTACTCGAGGTGATCCTGCTCTGGCAGGGGGGCTGGACTAGATGATCTCTAGAGGCCCCTTCCAACCCCTGCCACTCTGTGAGTCTGTGAGAGCATGACTGAGAGGATGGCAGTGATGACTGGTGTGATGTCAAGGTTGCAGAGCAAAGCGCCTGTGTGATGAACATATGTGTACTAGAATCTATTCTGTAGGTGAGAACTGTGGTTGGTCAGGACAAGCAGAGTATTACCCTGGTCCAGTGTTATGATTCCTGTGACACCACTGGTTTTTTTGCATGGAGTTTTGGAACATCATAATTGGATACCTGGTATGTTACATAATCTGCCTGCTTTTTAAAAATTTCTTTCTCTTTTCCTTTTGCCTTGCAGTCTCTAAATTGTATGTCATAAATTGTGTTACGTGCAGCTAATCCCATGAACTGACAGAGCAAATGTTTATGCTTTCTGTAAAGCAGGGAAACTGCTTTCAGGCCTTACATACCTTATATGCCATAACTGCTTTTATAGCTTTGGCTAAATTGTATCGGATGCCTATTTGGTTTACTGCTGAAATGTCTGAGGAACAGTGTCACTTCGTAAGATCGTCACTTGTGTATGACTGAAACAATTTGTAATAATTGCAAAGGAATAGCAGGCCGGAAGTCCTGTAGTTCAGAATTTCCGCTCCAGCAGACACTTTGCTGTATTTCATTCTCCCGTTCAAATTGATTTCAACATCCCAAACGCTTGGTGACACTTGAGGTCTGAAGCATGTTGTAGTGTTCAGGCTTCTACATGTCAGTCAGGGAACTGAGATCTGTGACTGTGTTCAGGAGAGTAATTTCTAAAAGTTGAGGGAAAAGCATGCGAGAATTCTTTGAGTTAAAAAGCTTTGACATAAAATTAATTTTTATGCTTTCCCACATTTCTCAGTGATAAATCTTCATTATAGCAGGAGTTTGGGGAAGTTTGGAGGCTTCCAGTAGGAACATTTGAAGCCTCTTATATTTGAGAACTGGGGGGTTGTGAACTGGCTTGGAGTTTTCAACACTAAAATGGAATTGTCTCCTACTTTTGGATGGGTGGATGTGAAACGATGTTCTGCAAATCACTTGCATTTCTTCTTGTAGGTTTCCTTTAACAATGTGATATATTAAGCAGGTGTTATCTTTTAATCTGTCTTCATGCTTTTATTAATGGTTGTTTTCCTCACGATTCCTTTTCCCTTTCTTCAGACTGTCAGATGATACAGCATTTTTTCCCAAGTTTAATACACATTTTGGAATGTCTTCTTTCGTACTAGACTGGAACTGAATGCAAAAAACTTTACTTTAAAATGATGTTTTCATTAAATTGTAACCTTACTTTGAAAATAACTATTTTTCCCCTTAGCTTGAGGACATCTTGGAAGTGTTACACCTAACCCCATAATGCTATGTAAAAGAAAAGGTTTGCTGGTGTAGAACGGTAGAAAAATATCTAAATAGTATTCATAGAACGAGCTTATTTTGGATGTAATTTTCTATCCTAGCATGTTGTGCTGTACGATCACAGGTGGAAATTTGTCAGATCAAGGTTCAGTAGGATGCACTTTGTTAGTGTTTTCTGTATGTTGGATGCCATGTAATGGAATTTCTGCGTTCTGTCTTGCTTTTAAAAACATTGTAACTTCCTCAAGGCTGCTTTAAAAGACCTCTTCTACAGCTCTAAAACCCAAAGACTAAAAAACTAAGTTCGTGCAGAAAGGAACACGTTAGGGTAGAGTGGACAAGGCAGCCTGAATTCAGGTACATCCTGACATCTGAGTGGTTGACACTGTCACCTTAATTACTGATAGCATCTTTGAAGATTGCGAGTCGTTTCACATTTTAGCTTTGAATAAAATGTTTCTGAGAATGTAAGGGAGTTTTTGTTTTAAACTTGAAAACATGTTTGTTTGTTTTGCTTTGTTTTGCACTCTTATTTAATGGATGAGTAAATTAAGAGGTATTTTTTTTTCTGGGAATATACTTATATATAAGTCTCAGTAGTTAATTTTTCTTATGGTACTTCCACTGTGCTAATGTTTAATGTTATTTTACTTAAAGCATAAGAACACCCAATTCCACCTTATTTGTCTTTTAGCATGTTAAAATAATTCTTTACCAGATACTTTCCTGCTGTTAGCAGCTTTCTTATTTAGAAATGTTGGTGGGAACAAACTGAAGTTTTTGAATTGATGGCTAGTTCTAATTCAGACACCAGCTTTCACAAAGAAACACAGATGACTGGTGGTAAAATACAGATTTTATGAACAAGTGCGATACTAAAAATTTTTAAATCTACAACTGTAGCCTGCTATTGCTTTTAAATTGGAAGTTACTAGCCATTTTGTATTTATGCACTGATATTTGAACCACATGTATAAGTTTACTTTTTTTTTTTCAGGTTAAAATGGGTTTACTGGTAGACTTGACCAACACCACTAGATTCTATGATAGGAATGATATAGAGAAAGAAGGGATTAAATATATAAAGCTCCAGTGTAAAGGGTAAGTTGTCTGCACTTTTTTAATATTTACCTTTTAATTTAAAATATCACGCTGAAGTAATTATTTTTTTTTTTTTTTCCTCTTCCCTTTCCCCCATCTGTCTCCTAATCTATGTGTTCCTGTGTTTTTCAGGCATGGTGAGTGCCCTACACCTGAGAATACAGAAACATTTATCCGTGTATGTGAACACTTCAGTGATAAGAATCCCTCGGAGCTTATAGGTATGTCTTCTTACACCCATTATATCCATCTTATATCCATCATTAGTTTTTACTGGTAATTTATTTAATATTTACTCATAACTGCGGTCTCTTAGAAGTCTAAGTGAAGGAATTTCCTCAGTATAGTGTTTATGCATATATAGATTTGACTGCTTTTACTCCAGAAACTGGTATGGTTCTGTTTTTTACAGAAAATAGTATGTTTCTGCATCCATGAATTCGATTAAATGTATCGACTTAATGCGGGAAAGCTTACAGGCTTAGGAACTGTCTACAAACTCATGGTACTTGCATTGTGTTTTTGTAACTTCTGCTGATCTAAATGCAGGTTGTGGATTGCCTAGGTATTGTTTTGGGATTTGATGGCCTGGCTTACTTGAAGTCATATTTGATAACTGAGTGATCAGAGATTCTTTAGTAAATCTCACAAAGCAGTTGATTAATTGCTGGAAACTGGTAGTAAGTATTAGGCTTTTCTTTTGCGATGTGCTGTCGTGTGGTGAATATGTGAACGTTCTTAAGGATATTTTTTTTCCCAGAGCAAAATAAATTCCTGGTTTAATTTGGGTGGCTTCTAGTTTTAGCTAAAACCATTTAATTCTGATTTCTGTTAAGCATGTTGATGTTCAACTGTGTCTGCAAACTGTCAGAGAGAAGAAGTTACTTTGCAGCTAGGTTTCCAGAGACGGAATGGGTGTTCTCCTTATCCTCTCTGATGATAATTCTGCAACCTTCCTGAAGCAGAGTGTCTGTGTGACTTCAGAGTGCGGGGGAACAGTTGTTTGTGTAGGTGTCATTGATAAGAGCTTGGTAAACTAAGCTGATATGTTCATACATTTCAAGATTCATACAGAATTGTAGAATTATACAAGAGATGATAGAGTTGGAAGAGACCTGTGGAAATCAGCCAGTCAGTTGCCCTTCCTCAGAGCAGGGCCAGCTAAAGCAGCTTGCTCAGGACTGTGCCCATTTGGGTTTTGACCATCTCCAACCTTAGAGACTCTATGATAAATTCTGGCAGCCTCTTCCAGTGTTTGCTCGCCCTTACAAGATACAGGTTTTTCTTCTTACGTTTGATCAGAATTTGTTGTATTTCAATTTGCTTCTTGTCCTGTCATAGGATACCACTGAATATCTTAAATCTTTTTCAGTGCTTGAGAGATTTTATTTGGGGGTACACTCTTATACTTTCTTATTTCTTTATTTCACATAAAATGCATTTTTTTTGTTTGAGACCTGTTTGTTTTTTTTTTTTCCTAAACTGTAATGCAAGTATGTGCTATGAAAAATGAAGAACTGCTAAATGGGAGTGAGTGGGATCAGCCATCAACAATACTTCAGAACTTGCACCAGAACTTGAAATATTTTTGGTGACTGATCTCACTCACTCTTTTAAAGGTTCCTCATTTTTCACTCCCCTGTCGCAGTTCCTTCACTTGGTCCTCTGACAGTATTTCAGAACTTGAAATATTAATATGGTCAGCAATTTAAGTGGAGTATGGATAGCACAGTGATATCCTATAAATAGCAGACCGATTCAACTGGTATTTCAGCTTTTAAAATGCTGTGTTTAGTGCTGAGTCATTAACTTTGGGACTTCTATGAATTCTAGTATGTTCTTCCATTATTTGGATTGTTTCACCTCTATGGGGAAAAAGTCAATTAGAGAGAATCAAGAAGAAAATAATGTGTTGACTAAATTTTTGAATAGCCTGTCATGTTTAGGCTTTCATAGTAAAAGGGCAATGTTGGGATTTTCCATTTGCCTTCTGTGAACTACTGAAAAGTTGTTTCTGACAGAGCATCAGAGGGACTGGTGTGGAAGATGTTGTTATCAAAAGCCAAAGCAGTCTGCAGCAGTGACAGTACTGCAGTACTGCACCCTATGTGATCTTCCCCTTCCAAGCCACTGGTCTCATTGCTGAGATGCTTCTTATCTTTGTCATGTGTGTAACATTATTGACTTAACCTTCTGGGGAGCAGTAACAGCTGCAGGACTTACCGATAGCAGTTGTATGCCATTTCATTTCCAGTGTCAAGATTAGATATGAAAAGAGACCGAAAAGTGAGTAAGTGAACAACATTTTCTATTCAGCTAGAACAGTATGGGATGGAAACTTTATTTTTGCAACTTGAAGGACTGGAGTATGCCTGCCAACCTTAAAGAAACAAAATGCTTAAGCAGAAAACGAAGGAGAAATGATTGCTGGGAACAAATTCTGTAAGGAAGCTAAAATTCAATTAATTTGATGCAAGTTACACAGTTTTTAATGTTATTAAATGTTTAGAATGGATGAATCCAAGAAGTTAGTAGAAGTTTTTGCCTTGCCTGATTAAGAAGGGAGGCTTGGTGGGGCAGACACAAACTCTGGCCGACCCTCTACTGTGGTAGAGAAATGAGGAAATCAATACAAACTTAAGTGACTTGCTTCATGGTCACAACTGAAAAATATGTTAACATTAAGAATAATTGTGTTTGGTGTTAGTGCAAACTTCAATGCTCTGATACTTATAATATAAAATGCAATACGAGGAAGAAGCAACATCTTGCCTCCATTCTTCACATTTTTAATAGCACAAATTTTCAGGCTGGTTTGTTCATCACTAGATGGTGCTATTGCCTAGAGAGAAAAATAAAGTTCCGATGCATTTGACTCTTCCTCTCCTTTTGCTGGGGGACGAATTCAGTGAATAGAGGCTGAAGACTTAATTATTTTTTACATACATTGAAAAGAAAAGTAAATTAAGGTGATTATACTGTTGTATATTTTTCTTTTTGTGTATATATATATATACATGTTTACAATAATAAATCTGGTCTTAGCATAATAAGAGCAAATTTGAAATAGAATTGTGGTCTATTGACACCACTTTCAGGTTTGAGGTAGGGTAATCTGGATATGACTTCTATGCCTGATGGTGTCAAACCAATGTAATGCTTGTTGAATCCACTAAAAGCACCATTATTGAATTTGATTTTATTATCTTCTGATAAGCATTGGAGCAGTCATAAAAATACTTTTAATCTGTACTAGCCGTATTTCAGTTGCATTAAGGTAGTGCTCTTGAGCTGGGGTAAACTGACCTATCCTATACTCCTTGCTAATAATTTGCAAAAGAATGTAATTAGTTGCATTTTAGGCTTATGTGCCTTATGTGATCTGGGCTGCCGTGATGGGAAGGGAGATAACTCTTTAATGTTACTGGTGAAGGTAGAAGGGTCCAAAACCACACTTGTGAAACTGAAGAATGTTTGTAAAAACCGCTTGTAAATGATTATGCCCTTTTCTTGTCTTTTCTAGGTGTCCATTGCACACATGGTTTCAATAGAACTGGATTTCTGATCTGTGCCTTTTTGGTTGAGAAGTTGGACTGGAGGTAATTTTGAATGTTAATTCCTAGGGATTTGTGCAGAGTGACCAAAGACGCCTTCAGTATGTTTCGCTCATTGTCCTGACAGCTATTCTAATGTTTTCACTGCTTGTTACTTTAAAACTGCCTGCTGATCTTGAGCAAACAGCCTATATTAACATTATTCATATCCTCCCTTGAGGACTTAGCCTGTTTCAGTCAAGCTTTCCAGGTCTGGGATGTCAAAAGTCAGCTGTACCTGCTGAGTGTGGGCTTTTAAGAGTGTATCTATTGTACTGTCTCTCTTCCCTGTGACATCTCCCATATTTTGAGTAAGAATGTAGAGCTCAGAGATGATCTGAAAGACCATTTATCTTTTTCATCTTTTTCATGTAGGTTTGCATTTTTTTTTTTGTTGTTTGTTTATTTGGGCTGGTTTTTTTAGTTCTGAAGAGAAGAGATTAGCTAGAGCAACAGCAGAGCGGCAGACTTGCTTCCAAAGGGTTGGGGGGTAGGCAGAGTCCTTGTTTCCAGCTTGTGGTTTGACTAACATCTACAGCGTGCTTCTATACAGACTCACCTGGGTGGTTTTTTGTGTTTAAAGGTGCTCGTGCCTCCATGAAGAGTCGTGATCTTTTTCAAATACAATTAGTGTTAAAAAAAAAAAAAAATTACATGTTTGATAGCATTCATGAAACACCATTTCCTTGCTGACGGGGTCCCATCCAAGGCATGTTTCTTAACAAGGATCTTAAGCATTCTGATGATATTTCTTGTATGGTCTTTTAAGTGGAGAAAATCCTACTTCTGTTGCAGCATTTTCTTATAACTGGACACAGTTATTTGGGGCTTAGCATGTGTGTGCAAGCTGTTTGCAAAGAACTAGGTCATTGTTAGGTGTTATTCAACTTGGAATATTGACATTGGAGTAATGGAGACAGAACACCATTAGCAGTGGGTGGCTGAATCCTGGCAGAATCTTAGCCAAGTACAGGAAGTAGACACAGATAAAATATCTTTATGATTCTAGTTGTTCCAATGAACTAGCAAATTGGTATGCTTTTAATCTAACAATTTAAAAGCAGCATGAAATAATTAGACTCATAATTGGCCCTTTGTTCTCAAGAGGAATTGTACTTGAATCTATTTGAATCTCTTGCCTTTATGCATCCTCTATTTCCAAACCTCTGTGAGAAAAGCTTTAAAACTTAACAGCTGTGGTTTTTTTTTTTTTCCCCCTTTATTCAGGTGTAGTTAATTGTATCAAGTTTGTTCATCTCTGGCAGATTTTTTTCTAACAGGCCACCCAGATATCACCTGGAAGGGAAAAATGTCCACAGCAATAGAATGAAATTTGGCAAGGTGGTAGTTAACATGAAGCGTTGTATCAAGATAAATCCTTTTTGCCATATCATTCTTTAAAATAAGACACTGTTACTTGCCGATGAGGAAATAAGATTTTCCTGATGGAAAAAATCCATCTATGTTCATCCCTTAAGCATATGATATAGGAATGCTGCTGACGTGTTGTGAATACTGAGATGTATTTTGTAATCTGTTTAAAGAAAGGGCGTCCAGACTGAAAGCTCTCTAGCTAGTGATCAGAAACCTTACTTGAGTCTCTTCTTCACAAGTAATTTTTCCCAAAGACTGCTCTGTTTCTAGAACTTGCTACATACGTTTTCTTTCAGCTAGGTTCCTGTGCTTGAAATCTGTGCTGCCTCTTTTGGCTTTCATTGCCATCTCTTCCAGAATTCTTCTAATATTGTTATCAGAGACAAGTTTGAGTGTCATTCAGGCCTCATCCCTTTTGCTTTGTTTTGGCCTTTCAATGGCATTGATTACGTAAGATGTGAAAAAATTTAAGAAAGATATCAACATAAAAAAATGTCTTGTGAGGAAGAAATTAGGAGCCTTAGAAAACAGATTGAGGAAGAAAGATCCTTCTAACTAACTCAGATTATTAAACTGTCTTTTCTGAGTTCTGATAATCTCACTCCTGAAAATGTTTTGTTTTCTACTCAAGTGCAGAAGAGATAACCAGACTTACTGGTTCTTAGGACGTGTTTCTTGCTGTTCTGGGAAATTTGCCTTGAAGTTCTCAAGTTCCTTCCCATACTGTACAGATCAAAGACAAAAAATGCCTTTTATATTTGGATTCTTTTTTCCATTTTAGCTATACATGTTACTTGTTCTAGTGGCAGGCTATTTTCTTATCTGAAAAAGATTATTTACACTGCATGTTACATGTGCTTTTGTTCCAGCTTTAAGATATGTATATGTACTTGTCAAGAAGCCTAACTGGGGCATGTGCCTTTTGTGGTATCTCCTCTCCTTTATTTAGGAAGATTTCTAAATGTTGATTTGTGGAGCATTACTACTTCATGCAACCATGATAAATTGAAGACAGAATTATATCCAGTGTTTTCTGTTAAACATTTTCATGGGATCTGTGAAAATAGCAACAATAATCCCCTTGTGCTGGATTGCTCTTGTGTGTTTTGCAGTGCTTTGCATTTGGCTGGTGAAGGCGCATGACTGTTCGTTTTGGTTTCTAATTTTTTTGAGATCCAGTCTCCAGTTTATTCAAGCACTTAAGATCAAATGTTAACCTGCACAGTAAAAGGTTCCTGAATTAGTTTTTTATGAGAAACTTCCAGAAGGAGAAGTAATTGCAGAAGATTAGGTTGTTTTTCCACAGTGTGATAGCAAAACCTCTAATGAAACGAAAGACAATTCTTAGGGTGAAAAATGTAGCCATATTGGAATTTCAACACCTGCATTTTTCTTCATTAAGTTTGTTCTTTTTTTTTTTTTCCTTTTTTTTGTCTTCATTGAGTCCTTAAGTATTTGCCTGTGTGTCACCCACTCCTTTTATATAGGGATAATAGAAGTTTTAACTAGGTGACCAGCAGACCACTATTAGCTACCATAAGGAGACAAAGCAAAGCAAGCTGCAGTTACTTCTGAGAATGTACGCAGTGCCTACAGAAATATCAGAATCTTGTGCAACTGTTGCCAGGCATGAGGTTTCAAATATAGTGAATGTTTTTGCAATTACCCTTTTTTTAAAATTCTCAGTCCCAGTGAATCTCACGTTTGTTGAAGCATAACATGACTAGAATGTGTTAATTAAGCATCCGGAGTAATTATTTTCAATTTTTATTTGACAGTATTGAGGCTGCTGTGGCTACTTTTGCTCAGGCTAGACCACCGGGTATTTATAAAGGTGACTATTTGAAGGAATTATTTCGTCGTTATGGAGATGAAGATGATGCACCATCACCACCTGAGTTACCAGAGTGGTGCTTTGATGAAGATGAAGAGGAGGAGGATGATAATGGTAAAACAGGAGGCCAAGAATCAGAACCTGGATCATCAAGCTCTTCCTTTGGCAAGAGGAGAAAAGAACGTCTAAAACTGGTATTTTTTAATTAAGAACTTAATATTCTCATTTTAAACTTATTTTCATAAACTCATAGTCAGCAGTTACTGCGGAGTACAGGCTGCACGAGTGTCAATGCTCTTGCAAGTGAGGACTGGCAGTATTGTCTCTAACTGGTAAAAACAGGTCGATTCATTGCAAATGCTGATGTTTCCTACTTGAACTTGAACTTTAATATTCAACACCTCAGCTATTCTAGTTGTAACAATGACTTTAAAATCTTTCTGATGTAACATTTGGGGTTTTTTTAAGCTTGAGTTGAGATAGTAAAGTGCTTTTTAATTTTTCGCTCTGTCTTCAGAGGTGGAATGCTGTGAGGGAGGTGTGTAAACAGTTTTTATTTATTTTTTGTAGCCATGTGGACGAAATCCAGTGTTTTTTAAATTTAGTACTTATTTTGGTGAATATTCTTACTTTAGAAAATTTTGAAAGTTTGAGAATTGGATTAGGAAAAAGTGAGGTGGGCTTAAAAACCAGCTATGAAATTACATTTTGTTCAAAGCTGTTTAAACTGTGTAAGGATAAGAAACGTGGCTGATGGCTTACGCCGATTATTTTGACATAAATCTGCATAAATCTGATGAAACTTACTATAGCAGGGACCTAATGCTCAAGTACAAAGAACATACTTGTATTATCTGTAGAGTATTGCCTCAGTTCTCTCCGAATTCCTAACTTATTTGCAGATAAGTAGGAGAGAATATTGCTCAGTGCAAAAATAAACTCAGTTCTCTGCATACTACTGAATCATTTTACTTGTGTGCTGAGGTGTGTTTGTTTGCAAACACTTGGAAATCCTCATATGAAATATGCTGCGAAAATGCATTTTGTTGCTACTGCAGCTCTTCAACGTAGTTTACAGATCAAATATGGAAGAAATTAGCCTGAAAGGAAAACCAAATCTCATCTAAAGAAGCAAGATGAACTTTGAAAACTTTAAAATAATCCATCAGCAGAAATAAAAAAATTGTCTACGTTGTAAAAATCCATAGTAAAAATCTATTCACGGGTATGGCAGCTACCTCCATTAGCCTTGCAGTAAAACACTGATATCTAAAAGAGTTTATTTTGGGCCAGAACCTTAAAGCTATGTTTTATTTGACTTGCCTTGTGATGCATTAGCCATTGAGGTGTGATGGTAAGATCCAGCAACCTCAGCAAGTGTAAAACTAAACTGGTCTGCTTAACAGGAATCATGATACAGGCTTCCCAGGCTTTTTCTTATCTGCCAATGTAGTTTTTTGAAAGCTGGAAGCTAAATTATACGAATAAGCATATTAATAACAAAAAAGTTAATTATGAGTTAGATAATTCATGAAATAAATACTCATCTAGTTAATATGCATATTCGTATAATTTAGTTTTGCAGCTCTGGAGAAACATTCTTTGACATGAAGAGGAGGAACGGGGAGAATTCTTTACCATGGTTCTTGGCTGGCAGATTGGACTGCTGCTTAACTGAGTAGAGATGGATACAATCTATTTGAGATTCCTTGTAAATATGCGATCTACAGGGGGAATGATTATCAGGTAAATACCTCTTGCTCAGTTTTTTTTTAATTTACTGTCTGAAGGGTTAAATTACAGCTGATTTCCTGCACCAGATGTTTCAGCATTCTAATGTGACTTATCCTCTAACCACCGAGGGGTAGACAGTGTCAAACCAGAGGTGGCTGGTGTGATAATGATGTTCTGAAATGTTCTCATTTTGACCCAAATCTTTGCTGGGATAGAAGAAACTTAGGGGTAGAGGAGGAGACATAGAATCATAGAATGGTTTGGGTTGGAAGGGCCCTTAAAGACTATCCAGTTCCAACTCCCCTGACATGGGCAGGAACCCCTTCCACTAGACCAGGTTGCTCAAAGCCTCATCCAGCCTGGCCTTGATCACTTCCAGGGATGGGGCATCCACAGCTTCTCTGGACAACTTGTTCCAGTGTCTCACCACCCTGTCTGTGAAGAATTTCTTCCTGGTATCCAATCTAAACCTCCCCACTTTCAATTTAAACCCGTTACCTGTTGTCCTGTCACTACAGGCCCTTATAAAAAGTCCCCCCCAGCTTCCTTGTAGCCCCTTCAGGTACTGGAAGGTGCTATAAGGCCTCCCCGGAGCCTTCTCTTCTCCAGGCTGAACAAGCCCAACTCTCTCAGCCTGTCCCCATAGCAGAGGTGCTCCAGCCCTCTGATCATCTCTGTGGCCTCCTTTGGACTTGCTCCAACCGGTCTATATCCTTCTGATGTTGAGGGTTCCACAGCTGGACGCAGCACTCCAGGTGGGGTCTCACAAGAGCAAGGTAGAGGGCATCTTCCAGGCATCTCACTAGGATAATGCGTAGTCAGAAGCAGCTGCCCGACTAGCCTGTGAAGTGAAGTTAGCATGCTGACCATTTCAGAAATTCGCTCCTGGACATGACAAACTTTACTGTGGCATTTTTCACTAAAACTTCCATATTTTGATGTCAGGAAGTCTTGACAGCCTTTCTTTTGTACGCTACAGGAACTGTTGGAACAGTTAGAACATAATGCCCTTACAGTTTCCTTTGTCATTGTGCAAGGGTAGTTGACAGGTAGTGGCAACTCTGTTTGCTGTCGTCTCAGATGCTACACAAGAAATCTGAACACGTTGTGACTTCGTCAGTGCGTGTCATAATGGTTGTAGCATCAAAGCAGCAATATTACCTGACACTTAGAATCACATTTCCAGGAAAAAATACTTTATTTTGCAAATAGGACAAAAAGTTATAATTCTGAGCCAGAACCTTCAAACTTTACATGGGTCAACCGGATCTTTTATTGTTTATTAAGGAGTGCTATCTGTTCTGGTCCGAGGTAAGCTGCATGTTTCGTAGGCAGTACAGGGTGTAATACGTAGCGCTTCTAAAATGGGTGGTGACATCTCAGACGATCTGGAAGAGATGGTAGCTGTTAAGGATTTTCTTCATGATTCTGAGTGCAGGTGTCTTGTAGCCATCTGCAAGATGGAGGGAAACCACTAAAGGTCGTGGTTGATGTAGTGTAGATATTTATTATTTAACTATCAAAGTACTTTGATTGTAAATATTAGTGACTTTGTTGTTCTCTGCCTAACCTACTTTTTCTCCACCAGAGTTTAACCCCTATACTTACTATTCCACCCATGGGTGTCTCTTGATGGACATGGGAAAACTACTATTTTCTGAATTTGCAGAAGAATTTTATGTACTTGAATACTGGTGTCATTTCCTTGCAGCTTACTCTTTTTCCACATTAAATGCCAATTTGTTCACTTTTTCCCCATAGTCTGTTTTTTTAATACTTCTGACCATTCTTGTCATTCTTTGTAATCTGTCACGTTGACCCACGTTTTCCTGGGACTGTGTGCCTGTAATTGAACACAAGCCTGCAGTTGAGGCCAGACTAGTGCTTAATAGAGAGGAATTAATTTCAGATGTCTTCTGTTTATGTATCTCAATATAATTGCCTTTTACAAGACAGAACAATACTAATTTGGCTTTTGGTCTCTTGCTACCTCCGTATCTTTTTTCTCTAATTATCTACCAGTGCGTGTTTGTATAATTGCTTATTCCTTTCTAAGTGTAGAACCTTATTTATACTGAATTTCACAGTATTTTTTCCAGCCCATTCTTAATTCTTATTTTTGTGACATCTTGTGACATCACAACTTGTATCCCTGTTATTAAATTCACAGATGTCACAAAAATAAGAATATACCATTAGGAAATTTAGGGGAAATACATTAATTCTCTGTCGTGGTTTAACTCCGGC